CAAGCAGGCTCCAAGGCCAGGGAGCGCGGTCCCCTTTCCTCTAGGAGTTGGGAGCAGGGTCCCCCTTCCTCTGGGCTGCGAGAGGCGCCGTTTTCTGGGGCGTGACTCCCCGTGGGCCCCCGGCCTGCCCCACTGCCACCTTCAGGTCGCTCAGGTCAGGTGCCTGGTCTCCCTTACTTCCCTCCTTAGACTTCAGGTGTGACCCATCAGCAAACGCCACCGGTGCTGTCTTGCCCGACCCCCACCGTCCAATCCCCAGACCCATCCTGAACCACTGCGCAGCTCCCGTGGCCTCTGCTGCTGCCCCTGCCCCTTCCAGCTGCCTGTCTGGGGGTCTGCGCCCTGGAAGTGGCTCGGCTCTAACAGCCCCCCGAACAGCCGGAGGACCCAGGACGTGGTCCCTCAGGAGCCCTCTCTGGACACTCTCCCTATTCATCTGTGGGGTCTGGCTCCCCAGGCCTTGGAGGACCACCCTGGCGACACGGCCCCTCCCCGCCCCTGTCCACCTTCCTGCTGGGTTCTGGACACAGCGGGCTCCTGCCTGGCCTGTCTGCTGTCCCCACAGCCTGACCAGGGCGGGAACAGAGCGGGGTTGCTGACGGGTGCAGGCGATGTTTGTAGGCCCCGGGCAGATGTGCACTCAGGGGCTCGGCCGGGTTGACGGATTCTGCAGCAGCGGGCGTGTGAACACGTGTGTGCACAATCTTTGGGCTTCGGACTGAGCGCCACAGAGTGAAATGCGGGTAGATAAAAGGCTCAAAGCTGCGGGACACGCCATGCGCACCCCGGCGTTGGTTGTTGGGTTCTTTTCCTTTACGGATGGGAGACTGCAGAGGAGCAGGGCAGAGCGATAATCGGGGACGCAGCCGAGAGGGGAGGGGGCTCCGGATCCGCTGTGTGCCCCGGGAAAGGCGCCCTGCCCAGAATTAGGATTTCCAGACGCGCAGCAGGGGTGCGGCAGCCGTGAGCTGGCGGGCGGTGGTGGTTCAGTTCCACCCCCCAAGTCCCCACCCCAAAGCATCGCCCTATGGACACCAGCCCTCGGAGCCCCGCCCCACAAGCCCCGCCCCAAAGCATCGCCCTATGGACGCCAGGCCTCGGAGCCCCGCCCCACAAGCCCCGCCCCAAAGCATCGCCCTATGGACGCCAGGCCTCGGAGTTCCTCCCCCACAAGCCCAGCCCCCGGTCCCGGTCACCTCGGCTTCCCTGCGGCTTTCCGGGTCCGCACTTGACCTCGGGGTGAACCAAGCACACGCGCTGGGTCCCCGCCGGCAGCAGAGGGTCCCTTCTCAGCAGCGCCTCCTCCTCCTCTTCCT